CAAACAAAAAGACAAGGGACAGAGGAGTTTAGCTCTTAGGGTTTAGGGTTTAGGGTTTAGGGTTTAAGATTCAGACCCCTTGATGCACCTGACAACCATTCAGGGATCGTCTCCTAGTCTGCTTGGGATCGTATGGGGATCGTGTGAGGATCGTGTGGAGATATGGTGGGGATCGTGTGGGGATCGTATTGGGATCGTACTGGGATCGCGTGGAGATCGTGTGGATATCGTATGGGGATCGTGTGGGGATCGTGCAGAGATCGTATGGGGATCGTATAAGGATTGTGTGGGGATCGTCTGGGATCGTCTGGGATCGTTTGGGGATCGCGTGTGATTAGGAAAGTTGAGGCGGGTCAAATGGGTAAAGGAGAAGGTTTAGTTTAGAGATTATTTAAAACATACTAAAAATAAATAAATAAATAAATAAATAAATAAATAAATATGTAGATAAATGAATTAAAACTCTCTCTAGTTCCTGTCGTCTGTACACGTAGAACGTCAGGTGTCTGTACACCGCAAAACTGCGGGTTTGAAGCCCCTTATAGTGCGTACTTCGAAAGCAATAAAAAAATTAAGAGTAGCGGCAGAAAACAAATAAAAAACAAACAAAAAAATTAAAATATTAATATATTTTATGAACATTAAAACCTTCAACTGCTGCGCGAGCACCCGCACGATATACTGCAGCAGCAGCAGCAGCAGCAGCAGCAGCAGCAGCAGCAGCTACTTCTAGTGCTTCTACAATTTGTCTATATTGTTTATATATTTGTTGGTGAGTTGTTTCTACATTGGTCTAGGGTTTAGGGTTTAGGGTTTAGGGCTTTAGGATGAGGGTTTAGGGTTTAGAGTTCAGCGGCAGGTAGCTAGCTGCTCGGCTCGGTCTGTGAGGCCGTGCTCTCGTAAACCCTAAACCCTAAACCCTAAACCCTAAACCCTAGACCATAGGCCCTTGAACAAACCTACAAAATAAACAGTATAGAAGAAATATTTGTTGCTGTTTGTGTTAGACAACAACAACAACAGCAACAACAACAACAACAACAACAGCAGCAGCAGCAGCAGCAGCGGAACAGAGAGAGCGCATCGACGGGCAGCTCGTCGGCAGCGGTTTGCTGCTGCTGCTGCTGCTGTTGCTGCTGCTGCTGCTGTTGTTGCTGGTGTTTGTAGTTGAAAAGCTCTGCATTGAATTGGATAAAAAGAGGGTTTTATGTCTTCATGTGGCTTTAGGGTTTAGGGTTTAGGGTTTAGGGTTTGCAGTACATCTCTTCTGGTCGCAGGTTGTGTTTGTTGTTGTCTCTTTATATACTGCTGCTGCCTATACACCCCAACTGATTTTCTTCTTCTTTTTACTTTCTTTATTTATCTCTTCTCTTGTACTCATCATTGTATTTCTTCGCCTTTTCTTCTTCTGCTTCAGCAGCACGCGAGCTAGCTGCTGCTGCTGCTGCTGCTGCTGGGCCTAATAAACCCTAATAAACCCTAATAAACCCTAATAAACCCTAATAAACCCCCGTAAACCCCTATAAACCCTTATAAACCCCCGTAAACCCTCATAAACCCCCGTAAACCCTAATAAACCCTCGTAAACCCTAATAAACCCTCGTAAACCCTAATAAACCCTCGTAAACCCTAATAAACTTTAATAAACCCTTATAATGGATTCACTGGGGTTAGAAGCAGGCGTAAACCCTTCTTGGGTATTTCATCAACAATCTCAAGGAAGATGCTCTTCTTTGAATGAGCGCAGCACATCTTTATTAGGTAGAGAAGCTGCCTATACACCTGAAGAAGGCGACTTAGGAAGACAAATAACTAGACAAATAACAAAGATAATTAATAGCACTCCCGATGAAAATGTTTATAGAGAACAAAGCCCTAGAGGTGTAGAGCATACACCTATTGTATATTTCTTGATAAACAGCAGCCTTACACGAGGTTTGCTGCTGCAGCTAATCGGAGTGCTGCTGCTGCTGCTCTCTTCTTTATTTCAAGCTGATTTGTTTGCTTATCAAACTGTTCTTTTTCCTGCACAAACCCTCTCTATACACCTCAATGTTGCTGCTTACTTTCTCATCTTCTGCGGCGGCATTCAGATTGCTGTCTTTCAGTTCTTCTTAGCCGATAACAGCAAGTAAGCAGTTTTATTATATATATATATATATATATTTATTTATTTATCTATTTGTTTGTTTGTTTGTTTGTTTGTTTGTTTGTTTATTTATTTGTTTGTTTGTTTGTTTGTTTGTTTGTTTGTAGTTAATTGCTTAAAAAAAGATTAATGTAAAAATAAATAAATAAATATATAAACA